CACAATAGTTGAGACATATATCCACTAAAAAGTGACCACTGTTAATCTGAAATTCAGATTTAACTGGGTGCCTTGAATTTTTACTTGCTAAATCTGGCAACCAACTTTCCACCAGAAGGAAGCCACTTCCCACCAATGCTGAAGTCATCAACACCCCAGAGCCCCCCCGGCGTGATGTGCAGGACCTTGATGTGCTTCCTGAAAGCTGGGCTGAACGTCCAAGAAGAAACACTAGGTGGGCAAAGCAGCGTGATGGACACGCTGGAGGCAGGCTATGTCCCCCCTCTCCACGGCCCCTCGGTTGTGTGGGGTTCTCCCACTGCTCCCTACACTACCAGGGTTTCACCAAACTTTCCGGGGAGTAACTTTTTCAATTATTGTGTGTGGCCCCCCTCTCCTGGGTGCTCAGATGCAAGTCCATGGGAGCTAGGCCAGAGGAAATATGTGAAAAACTACGTGTTGGAATTGTCTCTGCCCCAGCCTACTGAGGGGCAGGGATCAGACCAAGTTCATGGGCCTTGTAAGAGTAAGTTCTTTCCCAAGAGGCCATTGGTTCTTCCAGGCGAGTAGATTCCAGGTAGTCGCCCCGCCAGTCCCCATGCCACAGACAACGTAGGCCAGGTGGGAACAGCAGAGTTTATCCCACTGTAGGTCATTTTCTTCGACTTGAGGCGCCGTTACGTGGAACGTACGGGTAAAGCTGTCCATTGGGAGTACAGTCCTGATGGAAGGCTGACCAAGAGAACTCTCTCTCGTTAGGTACAGGAGAGAGGGGGTAGAGGAGGAAGGAGAGGAGAGGGAGCCCCTGTTACTAGATAAAATGGTATTAAATGCCAGCTATTTCTGTAGATGGCAGCAGACTCTGGCAGGCGTGGCACAGACTGGTGAGTTCCTCCAATCAGACCTGAGGAACTGGGGTGGGGAGGGTGGGGAGAAAGAGAGAATTTTATGCATTTTAGTATAATGCTAAAACCCTTTCCTGTTCTAACATTTTAGTGTTATTTTCCCAGGAAAGTAGAGCCTCTGAACAGAGGGTGCTCACCCCACCTTTTTCTTTGGGGTCCGCCCACTATTCCCCCTGGCAGGACTAGTTTTCAAAAGTAAGAGGACACACACAAAAAAAAAAGCAAGCAAGCAAGAGGCCACTTTCTTAACAAAATTACTGGAGCCCTCGTGGCATATACCCATTGCTGTCGAGTCGATTCCTACTCATAGTGACCCTACAGGACAGTGAAGGACTGCCCCACAGGGTTTCCAAGGAGCAGCTGGTGGATTCCAACTGCTGACACCCTTTGGTTAGCAGCCAAGCTCTTAACCACTGTGCCAACAACTCTCCTGGTGGTGCAGTGGTTAAGAACTCAGCTGCTAACCAATAGGTCAGCAGTTCGAATCCACTAGCCGCTCCTTGGAAACCCTATGGGGCAGTTCTACTCTGCCCTACAGGGTCACTATCAGTAGGAAGGGACTCAGCGGCAATGAGTTTGGTTTTTTATCGGCCCTCCCAGAGCTGGTCCATATCCTTAATCCCATTCTCCATTCAATCCCTACGATCTTTCTGTGTTGCTTTTCCCTGACTCCATTTACTCAAGTTGACATGATCAAATCTGAGAGAATTCCTGGCTAGGCTCTGACTTCACACCTCCAGCTTCCAGGAACCCACTCCACGGTATTTGAAAACTGCCAGGTTGTGTTTACAATATTAGCTGAAAGCAGGCTCTAAAGTGAAGACGCATTACAAAGGAAGGGCAACACAAAGTGAACAACTAGCTTCATTGCTATAGCAGTGAAAAGAGCTTTATTTGGTAAAAACTTGAGTTGAAGCAAATGCTAGGTGAAACAATGCTATTTCTTTTTTGTCTTTAATATGTATTCTTTTAATTTAGTGAGAACCACTGGAAATGTATTAAGAGATAAGGAGTTGATCTGTTCTGACTGGGATGTTGAATCTCATTCATTTCTCTGGATTAAAAAAAGTTCCAGGAAGACAAGTCCCTGGGTGGTACAAATGGTTAACGTGCTTAGCTGCTAACCCAAAGGTTGGTGGTTTGAGTGCACCCAGAGCTGCCGCAGAAGAAAGGCCTGGCAATCTACTTCCAAAAAATCAGCCATTGGAAACCCTATGGAGCACAGTTCTACTCTGACACACATGGGGTCGCCATGAGCTGGAACTGACTTGATGGCAACTGGTATCCAAGAAGACAGCAAGTTTCTCATTGCTGCAGCATCTCAGAAACATTAGAACACAAAAGTTTGTTGAAAGCCTATTTTGAAGCAAGGCTAGGGGGAAATGGAGAAAAGCTACGAGGAAAAAAACATAGTTCATGTCCTCCAGGAGCTACAAGTTAATGAGAACCAGGCAGGTAAATATGGGCATGCAGTGGATTTGGTTTCCATTACATAACATGGTCGAAGTGTGGTCTCCATGGGTCCCCCTCTTGGGAGTTTGAAAGGTCAAAACGATTTTTATAATTATACTAAGAAATTATTTGCCTTTTTACCACCCATCCTCTCCTCGAGTTTTCTAGAGGCTATAGGGCATGTATGACATCATCAGTTTGATTGCAAATGGAATGTATGCTTCTGTATTCTTGCATTTTAAAATTTCTGTCTTAATTTCTAATACATTAATATCATTATCAATGTATTAATACACTAATATTAAAGAATTATAAATACAATGATATTTTACCTACATACACAAAAGTTCTTTGAGGTCCTCAGTAATTTTTAAAAGTGTAAAGTGGTTCTGAGACCAAAAAGTTTGAGAATTGCTGACTTAATGTATCACCTACCATTACACATTGTCCTTGTTTCTCATCAATGCATTTTATATAAAATTATTTCACCTAATTCTATGAAAATGACTTTATTGTATACTTTTTCTACATCTTTGTTTTCTAGCATGATATTATTAGGGCATCTAATTATTAACCTGTTTGGGTTTAAATGTGTGTTTTGAAGCAGCACAGTGTTGGATCTTATTTTTTAATTCAGCTAGCAATCAGCAATAGATGATGCATCTCTTTCATGTTCTATCCCTCTGCGAGTTTACCTTACTCATTGTTTGTTTTGGTTTTAAAAAAATTAATATAATGTAGTGGACTTTAAAATTCTTTCTTTTTGTCAGACAATAAACTTCCCAAGTCTGTCTATTTTTTTATCCTTTCAGCATCCTCATAATTTAAAGCAGCTTTTCATTGCTTACTATAATTTTACTATCAATAGTGTAATGTTAAGTACAACAGTTGTCCCTGGTGGTACAAATGGGTAACTCGCTCGGCTGCTAACCCAAAGGTTGGAATCTGCCCAGAGGGGCCTGAGAAGAAAGGACTAGAGAGATCTACTTCGAAAACTCAGCTGTTGAAAACCCTATGTGTGTCTACTCTGAGTCAGATTCCATCTATCAGCAACTGGTTTTGGTTATTAAGTAACACAAATGTCCTTCCCTCTAGAAATGAAACCAGAGTTTAGTCGGTCGGTAACATATCTTGGTAACATAAAATTTTTTATAAAATTGTGTGTGTGTGTGTATATATATATACACACATATATCTTGCATTCCTACAGTATGTAATCTAACTTTCCACTTGAATTTTCTTATTTATTTTTTATTTTGTCCTCCGTGAACCTTGAGCTCTATCTAGCTCTTAACCATTGTCAGATCTCCATTGTTTTCTGGACGTGAACTTCACAGCTGTGGGCCTTTGTTGACAAATTGTTTCATCTCCTCTGCGTCTTAAATTAATTTCCCTTGCTCTGAAGTGAAAATTCCGTGAGTATTTCTAGATACTGTACTCAGGGTCGTAATTCAATTTTTCTTAATCCTTTGTGAATTTTCTCCAAAGCACTGGTGCGATTTTTATTGTCACATTTGAATTGTTTTCTCTGCTTTATTGATAGCTTGTGGAATCCTAGGTTGGTTTGTGGTGGGGTAATTTCCATGGTTTGGCTGGTTGGTTTTAAGTTTAAAGCCTTCAATGGCACATCTTAAATTCTTTCTTGGACAGTTGTTCCTGAATGAGTTCTTGCTATGGCCCTATGGAGATGATTATTTCTATCCTTCCCTGATAATAAACTCAAAGTTGCTAGGGGTCCCTCCCCTCTTATTGTTACCAGATCTATTTTGAGCTGGGATGTGTGCTTCCCAGGCAAGTTTCCCTTCAGCAGTACTGGTTCTCTTTCCTCTGCACCCGGTATGGTCTTGAATCTTTCGAGCATCTTCTCCATGTTTCTTGTTCCTCTATAGCATTTACAAGACCCAGTTTAACAGTCTAGTGCCTTTTTTTTTTTTTTGGCACTCCTTACCTCCTCTTTATTCTCTGTTAAAGTAATAAGTGTACGTTCCGTTGCACTTGCCTGAGAGGTTTGAGGTCTTGGGTTTCCCGTCATCTGGGCTCTGGCTGGCTTGCTGTTCCCCTTTGATGCTGTAATAATTTTTCACTCAATTTGAGTGTGGGGCTTAAAAGACTTGTTTTTATTTTTTATTTTTCCAAGATGTGCAAATTTTTTCATAAGCTTATTTTGCTGTTTTATGCTGTTATTTTTAATTGCTTCTTACTGGGGGGTGGGGCCGAAAGTGAGATTGGCTTGGATTTGGCTCTCAGTGCTATTACTCACATTTCCCCAGAAGGGCTGCACACTCTCTCTCTGCCACTTTTGAAAGGCAGTTGATCCCTGGCGTTAAGTGGTGTTAAGGGGAAGGTGGGCTTCAAGGAGGGATGCTCAGGAACCCAGTCCTGTGCAGTCATGAGCTTGGCCATCTGGAAGTCTCCTCTTGCTCAATGAAATGGAGTAAACATTGTCCACTATGAAATTCACCACGCAAGCTGCCAGGACAAATGGGATCCCACCCAAAGCCAATCGCTACTCTGACAGGGTAATTGGCAAGCACTGCCTGAGACTACTCCAGCCTTCCCCGTCCCTGATGTCACAATTCAGAGGCTGCTGCCTGCCTAGGAGGTTGTATAAAGCTCTGTAGGTTCTCTCTGTGTGTCCTCCAGGGCTCCGCGGTCCAGGTCCTGGCCTGATGGCTTTTATGAAAAAATATCTCCTCCCTATTTGGGTGCTATTCTTGGCCTACTACTTCTATTCTGCAAATGAGGAATTCAGACCAGGTAAGTACCAATGTGTCTCATTTTGGAGGAATAGGTTAAAAAACACAGGGGTGCTGGAGTGTTCGTGAGGATCAAGATGAGTTCCTGATCCCCAAAAATGTTGAAAAGAGGTGGGACTGTGTTCTGTGTTCTCCAGCACAGGCTGTGGGCAGGAGGGATGTGGGGAGGGGGAATCATGTAGCCAAAAGCTTGCCAAATAGGCCATGCTTTATTTGGCGCCCTTAATGGAACGCAATTTCAAGTCCTCTACAAAAATGAAGGTTAATTCCAAAACACACGACTCAGCCAGATAATTAGGCTCAGTGGAGACTGGTAAGTAGGAAGCAGAAAGGACTTTGGAACTGATAACTAAATAGAAGTACAAAAAGATCCCTGGAATCTCTATGAACACATGTGTTTTAATCGCTTTTTAAATTTTCTTTGAATTAAGAAGAACTGGGTAAGTCCAGAAATGTCTGGAACTCCAGTATTCTACCTGAACCATGGCCTTCCTAGCCTTGTCCTATGAGCTCTGCATTTTACCTGAACCATGGCCTTCCTGGCCTTGTCCTATGAGCTCTGCCCATGGAGGTTTCAGAAAGAGCCGCAGGGAGGCTTGGTTTGGGGCAACCTAGCCAAACCGCCACTTCAGAGCATGTTTACCAAACACCTGCAGTGTTCCTTCAGTGATTGTGTGCAATTCTGAGCCAAATTATCTGCGACCATAGACTTGGAAAGTTAAACATTGAGATAAGCCTGCCCACATACAGAGAGGGAGGAGGGAGGGACATTGCTGCCAAGTTGGGTATAGTCCTCACTTCCTTTTGGGGTTCCCCAGAGATGCTCCAAGGAAAGAAAGTGATTGTCACAGGGGCCAGCAAGGGGATTGGAGAGGAGATGGCCTATCAGCTGGCAAAGATGGGAGCCCATGTGATGGTGACTGCGAGGTCAAAAGAAACTCTAAAGAAGGTGAGGGTTTTGTGCCCACAGACTCATGTACTCTCATGTGCCCACATGTATTCTTACATATATTCACATATATACACACAGGCACACAGAAGCTAGCACTTCCATATACAGATGCCTATACATATATACATACACATACAAACATACATATACTTACACTTATACTTTCATATGCAGGTTCAAACACCCACAGGGATATAAGTATATGCATTTAGGCATTCACTTCCATACACATATATACTGCATACTCAGACACGAAGTTCTTGGGCTATCTGTGGTCATAGACATGACTATTTCACGCACATTTACACAAGGAATCATAGACATATAGATATATATTCAGATACCAAAATTCCAGTATGTACTCATGAATACATATTCTCCTACCCACACTAAATCTCACCCATATGCCCTCTCATATTCTCAGACTCACAAACACAAGGTTGTACGAACACCCACAAACCTAACATTACCCATGTAGAAAGCAGCACCCACACTCTTAATATGTTCAGAAACATACATTCACAGAAACCTGTGAGCATAAATCATGACTTAAGCCCCAGCACAGTGAAAATTTATTCGTTTACACCCCACCTTGTTCCAGAAAGTATTCCAGACAGGGGACAATGATCAGATCAGATTTATTTAGCCACACACACTGCTACCATTTCTTATCAAAACAGGGCTGTGAGCAACCTCTCACTTAAATCCCCATCACTGTCCTCCAAAGGTCTGTAGGGAAGACTGATAACATTGCTGCCGTGTCCCTGCAGGTGGTATCCCGCTGCCTAGAGCTGGGAGCAGCCTCCGCACACTACATTGCTGGTACCATGGAGAACATGACCTTCGCAGAGCAATTCATTGCCAAAGCAGGAAAGCTCATGGGTGAGGCTGCTTCCCCTCCTTCCTCCCTGACTTTGCACTAGGGGTCAGTCACCAGGGAGCTTTGGGGAGGGAAGGGACCAACCCCAGATGGTTTCTCTCAACACAGCCATCTTTTGCAGGGGGGCTAGACATGCTCATTCTCAACCACATCACCAACACTTCTATGAATTTATTTAACAATGAGATCCACCATGTGCGCAAAAGCATGGAGGTCAACTTCCTCAGTTACGTGGTCCTGACTGTAGCCGCCTTGCCCATGCTGAAGCAGAGCAATGGAAGCATTGTTGTGGTCTCCTCAACAGCTGGTAAGTGGGGCAAGAAGCCGTGTGGAAGGTAGGGCTAGGAGAAGTGCCATGCGTTTACCTGTTTTCATACAGAGAAGTAACACAATATAAACTTGAAGTTGAAATGCTCACAGTGATATTAAGCCAAAGCCAATTAACAGCCTGCTCATATACCTGGGTAGAAAGCTATATTAACTAGAGATCTGGGTATATAAACTCAATGAGGGGTATGTATGCTGACTACAAGAGGAACTGTTAAGTGGGACCATAAAAATGAGAGGTTGGTCAAGGCTGGTGGGCTACAAAATCCCTGAAGGTAAATGAGAGAGAGGAGCAGTTCAGGGCATCCACCAGAAGCCTGGACACTTGTGATCTGCAAATGGAAGACCAGGTAGACATTGAGAGGCTGTTGGAGATACAGCCTGTCCGGATCCTAAAGGAGACAACTGGTCACATATATACACATGGGCATATATGGGTGAAAAAAAGACTTTGCTTCCTCCATTACCAAGAGCTGTAGGTCGGCAAGGTTAGCTGATGTAAAGGGAAAACTGAAAACTGAAATACTTTAACAATGTACAGTTGCCTCATAAGTGGATTAAGCTAACCAAAAAAAAAAAAAACAAAAACCATTGCCACTGAGTCTATTCCAACTCATAGTGACCCTACAGGACAGAGTTGAACTGCCCCCTAGTGTTTCCAAGGAGCACTTGGTGGATTTGATCTGCTGACCTTTTGGTTAGCAGCCATAGCTCTTAACCACTACGCCACCAGGGTTTCTGGGTTAAGCTGAGGAAAAGGGAAATGAAAAACAAAAGAAGACATATTAGTAATAGACCTGCCTATATTTGCAATAATCTCCAAATTTTGAACTTGCTACATTAAAAATCCAATTTAAAGAACCAACTGAATAGAGAGGCTGTGTATACAGAGGAGAAATGTTCATAAAGAGAGCTATGTGGGATCAAGAGAGGCCCCTAATGGCAGCAAAAAGCCAGAGAGTTTCAGCTTGGGAGATTCCTAGGCCCATGTCAGCATGGGTCCAGGAGAGCACTTTGATTTCTCTTTGTTGATCAGTCAGTTGGAAAGATGTGGCTGGAAGGTACAAACACCAGGATCCAAATCAGCCTTCTCAATATGGTTCCTGGCAGTGTAAAAACAAATAACCTAGGACTTTGTTAATTGTTAAGTACTTTACAAACGTTTGTTATTATGATAACCAATAATACCATCTACATTATAAAGAGTTCTATTTTCTGGCCCAGGAAAGGTCTGAATAGTGATGGGATAAAAGGGCAATTGTCTTGAGAGACCCGCCAAACAGAGTGATTGATATGCATCCCTGTGCTTCCCAGACAACACAGACTCCCCACCCCTCCCAGACGCAGCCTCTCTCTGGGCTGAAAGGAAGGGAGAGCTTCCGGATGCATACTGAGTGGGAGGGTGCTGGGCACATCCCCAATCCATCCAAGGACATTGGCTAAAACCTTCAAATCAGCCATGGTGTAGGTGGCTTTACTGATTTCGGTTGATTAAATAACATCCACTCTAGGATGTGCTTCACCTTTGGTTGGATAATTTAAATTTCAGTAATGCTCACACAATCTAAATATGCTCAGAAGGACATATTTATGATAGAAGGCCGAGGGCATGATGAAATTCTAATAATCTCTGTTCCCACATGTCCTGTATACCTACCAAAGGTCACTGTATTTTGTGTACTCTGGGAGGTGGAAATCTAGTTGGCCTACTACTCCTTGTGTTTAGTGTTCATGTAAGTGAGAGGGTTTACTATGAAGCCTGTTTGCTTTGAAGCGTGTCTGTGAACTTGCAAAATACAGACACATTGCTTTCTCTCCCTAACTGAAGAATATTCTCTATTCTATGATGTGCTCTTTTCAATAGTATGCAACCATGCTCATTAATCCCGTCTCTTTAAATTCTGGATTCTACAAAAATGTGATGCTAAACCTCAAATTGATCCTAAGATCAGCCAAAGAGTATGGGGGTAGAGTTTTAATCATTTCTTCCAGGGAAATGCATTAAGCTGTTTATTGGATTACAGTGACGAACAGTTGTTTTCATACCCAGTACATTTCCAGGTAGTGCACTACATTGCCAAGGAAATGTGTGCTCCTGTCTGTTAGGATTCATGAGAGATAATCTACCTTTTAATACGTTCTGCAGAGGCTCAGCTACTTCTTTAGCTTCAAAATAGACAGTATTGTTCATCTGGACAAGTCCTTATAGTACACATCCATCTATCAATCAACACCTTTTTTTGACAACTACTGATCAAGCCTTGAAGTATATGTAATATCCAGTTACACTGTCCAGCCTCCCCTCTTTCCATCACGTATTAGGTTGGATATAAGTTCAGCTGCTATAACAAAGACCCAAATTTACAACGGCTTCAACAAATCAAAATGTATTTTTCTTCCATAAAACAACTTAGGGTAGGCAATACAAGGCTAATCCAGTAGTTCTTTCTGCGACATGAGGTTGCCCAGGAACCCAGACTCTTTCTATCTTAGCACTGCCATCCCCAGGCTGTTATCCTCATATGCATGTCCAAGACGGGTCATTATTACATCTGAATTTTAGCAGAGAGAATGAAGAAAGAAGGATATAGCTTGAAAGTTGTACATTTCCCTTTGGCTCACATCCCAGTGGCCACCCAACCCCTTGCCATTGAGTCAATTCCAACTCATAATGACCCTACAGGACACAGCAGAACAGCCCTATAGGGTTTCCAAGGCTGTAATCTTCATGGAAGCAGACTGCCACATCTTTTTCCTGCAGAGCAGCTGGTGAGTTTGAACTGCCAACCTTTCAGTTAACAGCCAAGTGCTTTAACCACTGTGCTACCAGGGCTTCTCCAGTGACCTTACCTGGCTGCAATTGTGGTCTTTATTCAAAGTGAACATGTAGCCAACTAAAAATTAGAGGCTCTATTTCTATAAAAGACACTTGTTAATAAACAACTAACAGTCTCTCTCATATCACCCATGCCAAGAAGTACACAAGACTAGAAGGAATCTTACCCTCCAGTCTACCCCTCATGTATACCCCACATCACACATACACACACACACACATCCCAGGCCTACTCTCACTCACATCCAAGGTCCATCACAAAAATAAAATCCCTTCCATCAGGCAGTGGGTACAGGGCACAGTGGGAGATAAGAAAGGGAAAGAGAATGCCTAGATGGTGTTTATGAAACAAACTGAGACAGAGATAATAATGCTTGAATTTGATTGAAAAAAATCACTGGATGGAGCAGAGAATACTTGGAAACATCTGGAAAAGATTTATCTTCCATTAGTTAAAATGAGTCTTCTTGACTGAGGTTCAGTTACAGAAAAGTAAAGTTTATTCCATGTCTGGCTCCTTGGCTTTGTGAACCCCACAACCACGGCCATCATCATATTAGTTATACGCATGATGGCTACAACAGAGCTCTTAATGCTGCTTCTGCTCTCCTTTTTTATTCCTTCTCAGGGGAATCATGGACAAACCCTATCCCCCTCTGTTCCTTTCTCTTTCCCAAATCCATTTAATCACACCTCATATGAAGTCTTTCTCGGTACTCAACAGAGCTGCTTAAACATCTCCTCTTCCTCTCTACTAAAATTCAGTAAATTAAGAAATCTTACTTCCTTTCTCTTCCTCTTTTTTGGTTTCACTGGAGATCCAAATACTACTAATAACAATAATAATACAAATGTTAAACACACTGGACAAGCATAAGTGTAGGCACAGTAATTCTTCTGGACCAAGAAAAATGAAAGGCATGTTTTTAAGTGGAACTAAAAATCACCTCATGCGCATTCGAAAGCTGGACGATGAATAAGGTAGACCAAAGAAGAATTCACGACTTTGAACTGTGGTGTTGGAGAAGAATACTGAATATACCATGGACTGCCAAAAGAATGAACAAATCTGTCTTGGAAGAAGTACAGCCAAAATGTTCCTTAGAGCACACACTTTAGACATATTATCAGAGGCATCAGTCCCTGGAAAAGGACATCATGCTTGGTAAAGTAGAGGGTCAGTGAAAAAGAGGAAGACCCTCAACAAGATAGATTGACACAGTTGCTGCAACAATGGGCTCAAGCACAACAATGATCATAAGGATGGCGCAGGACCAGGCGGTGTTTTGTTCTGTTGTACATAGGGATCTCTATGAGTTGGAATCAGCTCGATGGCACCTAACAACAACAAAAATAATAAAAGACTGGGTTTCTTTAAACATTCGACATGACAACACATCAAAAGGAATAAAAGAACTTTGCTATCAACCTCTGAATGCCCAGACCTCTCTTTGGAAGCTCCATGAGAGTCACCAGAAACCTACACATTTTTCTCCAAGTAAATCTTTTTTTGAAAAGATTAACATTCAAGATATATATATTTTTTAAGTCTTATCCAAATATACTCCATTTCTGGTTTACTCATTCACAGCATTGCTTCATACTATTTTTTATGTAAATGTGCAGTATTTCAGGCACATTATGAGTCATAATCGACTCGACAGCAACAGGTTTCGGTTTTTTGGTATGAGCTGACTTTTAAAAAAAAAAAAAAAACCTGTTGCCATCTAGTTGATTCCAACCTCAGGGGCAAATACCTCATAAGACAATGCTTCTGCAGGAAAACTCAAATGAACTGATGAAGTCACTTGTTGGACTTTAGCCTGTTTGTTAGTTGAGGGCTGCCTGTGTGGTCTAAATTTATTTCAAGAATTCAACATTAAGGAGAGGAAAAAAATAACAGGCTTTTCAACTACATGTATCAACTAACAGGATTTGGACAATGTTGTCTGCATAAAGACAAGAACATACAGATGTTAATCTCATCTCTGTTCTCAGCTCTGGCATACCCACTCCTTCCTGAACAGTGGACCAATGCCTCAATGTATGCATGTCCTTGGGGTACAGTGGGGGGTCAAAGTTCTAGATGTGAAGAGGCCTAGGAACTAGGGTAAAAAGGGGAGGTTTATCCCTCATCCCAACAG